AACTTACTTTTTTTGCCAGCCCATCCTCACTCATGTTGCACCACCTAAAGCATTCAGCCACTACTCTCCCCCCCAAGCTAGCCAAGCATATCAAGTGTGCCTGCAACACTCACAGCCTAATGAACAATGCACAAAAACAAAAGTAACAGCAAGACTCCTATTATCTGATCTTCCGTAAAACACAAAAACTGCCTTCTCTGGTACAGAGGAAGTGCCAGTAAGCCTGCAGGTGTGAGCCAGTTAAAAGAAAAGGCTTTGGCTAAATAGATTCTTTGACTGCCAGGGATTAGAGTCATGGCACCAGTGGTAACACACATCTTTTCCTTTAATTTACAAAATTTTCTCACGAGTTTGCAAGAGTTCACCCCATCAGGGGCTTTCTGAGGCCATTGAAATGTCTTAAGTTTTAATTAAGTTGGAGTTGTCAGAAGAAAGCTTTTTTGGCACAGAGTCAGGGTCATTAATTACTGCTATCTTTGTTTCTTTCAGAAAAAAGAACTCTACTGACTTGTTGGGTTACTTATACAGCCTACATTTTCTATCCTGCAGTCCTTATTCACCTCCAAGCAAGGCTTGATTAAGCAGTTTACCAATTACTTCCATCAATCTGATTTACAAATCCTATGGGTAATCTTAACTTCAGAAGCTTTTCTCTCTGCTGATTTGAGGTACAGTAGTAATGAAAGCAGCATTACTGTTAGAACCACAAAGCATTTTAAAATTCTAGATTTTCCTTCCTAAATGGTACTTGAATCGCATTCCTGATTTTATAATTTCGTACCCATCCTCTTACACACTTGTAGCTGGATTGTCAGTTATTAGCAGACACAAGCCACACTGCATAAAACTAAGCAGAACAAACACAATGTCCTTGCTATATCGCAATTGCAGGGTAAAAGTTCATGTTTTCTATCAGTGAAATAAATACCTGCAAACAAGCTAGCATTCAAATCACAGGACACGGTATCTGCATTTGATAATAGTAGAAACTTTATTGCTAGGTGCCATTTACAAAAAAATGTAAAAGTACAGAATAATTAACTAAAATTGTTACCCCATAACAATTATTCACTGGCCTAAGTAAAAGCTAATTTGTAGGCTTCATTTCTACCAGATGCATTCACATCATAAAAAAGCCAACACCTTAACCGGCACTAATTTGCTGCTTCACCAGAGTTTGAGATATGGGGAGTGCACTGTCTCCCTCATTCCTAGAGATAATGGCCTTGAGGCTCAGTATGAAATATAATACTATATAGCAATATGCTATACATCCATTCCATAGATTAAGTGAAGATTTTGATTTCCAAGCCTGTCCATTCGTTGCTTCTGGTGATCACTAATTTCACATACATGCACAACTAACGTATATTCCTCTAAAACAAATACACCCCAGTTTGATAGTCGTATATTTTCAGATACCTGGGAAATTCTGGGTTTTATACAAAGTATTTTGCATAGATACCATTACCATTATTGGAAAGCTTGATAACTACATATCTTTCTAAATACACCACTTGTTCATTTAAAATTTGTTTTATCAAAATCCTCAAATTCCTTGAAGCCTGCAAAAGGCCTATGTTAAAACTACATATTTTGTACTGTTTTTAATAAAAACATTGGCAAAATAATGTTTTTTCAGAAACTCTGACTTGAATTTCTGATTTATGGAGTATACTTTACCATTTTGAGCTACTCAGCTCAGCAAGTGGTTGCTCAGAGACTGCAAGACTTGAAATGTCTGTGGCATAGTATAAATTATTTTGATCCTCCCTTGGGTATTTCCTTAATTTCTCACCCCTTTACTGTACTTCGCATAAAATGGCAGAAGCGAGATAGAAACTATTAAAAAGCTAGGAACACTACCAAGAACGTTAGCCAGCTACCTGCAAGTGAGGCAATCCACTGTTAAAGAAACTACTTTGCTGCTATGCATTACCATTTTGTCTGTTACCTCTGTTTCCGAAGTCCAACATCAAAAATAGCAACCCCATAGAAATTACGGTGGCTATTTATTACATAAAATATTGAAAACTGGTACTAAAAGAGATTACAAAACTGTATTGAAAATTCTTATAAAACAGCCATCTCTTTATTTGTGGCATTTTATTTGTAACAATTTTATTGTTGTGCTGATTGCCAAAGCATCACAGAATTGCATCAATCCTTGTAACTCTTTTCATTTTTTTTTCACCTTAGTTAAGATCATCTCTAAACACCAAAAGCAATTCAGCCTAATTATTTATGTCTTCAGGATGAATCTATATAGGGATACACAGCTGTCGTCATGTCCCTGAATTCTTTCTTTCCAATCCCATTGTCACCAGCGTATACCTGCAACTTCTTGCTGAAGTGCTCTTGAAGTGGGACACTGGGAGAACCAAACCTCAGGGACAAGGTCTCCCACTCTTATGTTTTTCAGGCTGCAGCTACCACCAGTGTGAGCTATGGTACCTGCACCTACAGCACTGGGAATGGACACTTTAGAACTGTGGGCTCTTTTCTCTCTTGTCTAGTAAGGATGTTACCTAGCCTTTTCAGAATGCCAGCTTACTTTTAGTATTTTTCTTCTGTAGTTGAACAATATCTTTAAAATCCATCTCCCTGTTTAAATAAATGCACACAGAAATAACTACACTTATAAGAAAAGACTACCAGGCTGTCAGTGTCAAAAAGCCCTTTAAGAGGCTTACATGTTTTATTCTACAGCTAAATATGCAATTCTAGCCCTT